ATTATTGTATAGGCGCTCAGTCAGCTAGGTTGTGTAGGTAGCATGGTAGGAACGACAAAGATAGGCTCTGAAGAAAAATGTTTCCAGCTGTTAAATTCACCAAATAGGCAGATCGTAACAGATTTTGGATGGTGTGAAATATGTAGGTACGGTATAGCCAGCGCGAATGATAAGGGTCTCGTTCCTTTAACACCGAGACTCGTCATTTCTCCGTCTGTCCGTCTGTCCGTCTGTCCGTCTGTCCGTCTGTCCGTCTGTCCGTCTGTCCGTCTGTCCGTCTGTCCGTCTGTCCGTCTGTCCGTCTGTCCGTCTGTCCGTCCGTCCGTCCGTCCGTCCGTCAGTCCGTCTGTCTGTCTGTCTGTCTGTCTGTCTGTCTGTCTGTCTGTCTGTCTGTCTGTCTGTCTTTCTTTCTTTCTTTCTTTCTTTCTTTCTTTCTTTCTTTCTTTCTTTCATTCTTTCATTCTTTCTTTCATTCATTCTTTCTTTCATTCTTCTTTCTTTCTTTCTTTCTTTCTTTCTTTCTTTCTTTCTTTTCTTTTCTTTCTTTCTTTCTTTCTTTCTTTCTTTCTTTCTTTTTCTCTCCCTCTTTTCTCCTCTGCCCTTCCTACCTCTTCCTCCCTTCCTTCATACATATGTCCCAACCAAACTGATCAACAAGCTCACTGCGCCACTCTTTCGTTGGTACCAAAAAATGATGTCACTGCACTGTCTGGTCCATTACATCCGCTGTCCTCTGTACGGCGCATGCGCGAACTGCTGAAGGGGGAGGGGTAGGACATAGAGGGAGGGGTCAGGAGTGGGACTGTCGAGAGTTGATTACCTCGACACCAATTATACACTCGACTCAGAGTCAGCGTCAGTAGGACCTGTCTCCAAAACCGGCACTCTGGTGGGTTTCATTCAGGTCAAGGTCGTTCCTCCTAGGCAGTGCTGGAATCAGGAAACCACCGTGCTCGTACGGCGCGGATGAAAGAAAGGTTCCAGACAATACGAGTACTGACGTGTCTCTGAATAGTATGTGATCGTAACGCTGCGGGTGGATGACCTCGGCAAAGAGGCAGTGCAAACTGGCAAGGAGCAGAGCAGAGAGCAAAGAGCAGACATCATTTAGACGTATGCATGCGTAACGCCCCGACTACACAATCTTGTATCTTGCAGATCAGCTGATTCAAACAAACACTGCACTGAGAAGTGCGTACTTGCTACACTAATCTCTCGGCTTCGAAATTGCAAGAACGTTAAAAAAGAAATGCTGGCGGCGTTATTTAATATTAAGGAAACTAGACTGACCTCTGGGCACCATTTTGCAGAACATTAATCCGTTCTACAGAGAGGGCAAGGAACGAATGGAAGGACAGGAAGACTTGCACAGTGCACAGCGTCTACAGGACGGTGAGCAGAACAAGGACCCGTGCACAACAGACTGGAGTTATAGACAGTCCCACAGCCCATCTCCCGGACGAATACCAATACCGGATTAGCCACCGGCTGGTGTTATCCGGGGGGATTACCGCCCCCCCCCCCCCTGGACAGCAGCCGTTCATTGACGATGAGGTCACTGCATCTGCCCCTGCGTCAAGGTCGTAGCCCAACTCAGCCGAGTGTGAGTGACTGCACATGCTGCAGACTCGCGCAGGGAGGCTATACTTTGTTACGCTAGCACACCGGTGCAGTGTAGGCGCTTTATCACCTGCTGAAAAATTCAAGGGGAGCTCAGGTACGTGTCGATGGGAGGAGAGAACAAGTTGGCCTGATTTTGCAATCGGTCGCGCACATGGCATGATCATGTTCGTAGTCTTGAACCATGTGTGTTTGTGTGTTTGTGTGTTTGTGTGTGTGAGTGTTCTAGGACTGAGGAGGTGAAGTTTTCCTAGCCGGCGCACCTGCGGGGGGTGATTTCCCCCCCACCCACCCATTTGAGGTTTTTCGTAAAAAGTGGGAAATCGTGGCTCCACGCACCGCAAAATTTGGCATGGATATTCCCTCACCAATTTTGCTCACTGTACCTCCCAACTCCTAAGCTCCGGTCACTGGGTCACTTCGAACGACCCGACCTCAATTTTTTTTTCTTCTACTTTGCCACCTTGTCAGAGCCACAGTAGATTAATAAAGCTGGGTTCATATTGCGATACTTAGTGAGAGTGATCTGATACCTCGGAGACTTGACCTAGAATCAGTGACATTTGGCAAAATGTGTATTAGATAACTACACTGTAAAAAAATGCTTAGCATCCGTGTCAAAAAGCAGCTCCCTGTACCGACATATTTTAAGCAGGCTCATTGGGTGCTATTCACTGTAAAACAATTAGCACTCCTGTCAAAAAGTAGCTCCCTGAACCGGCTTATTTTAGCCCGCGCCCCACTTGGGTGCTATTCATAGCCCCCTCCCGTTTTTCTGCAATAATTTCTAAACCGAATGATGTATCGCCGCCAAACTGTCAGTACCGTCGGCTGCATCAATTTGACACCTTGTGTCAAAATTTAAACTTCGTATCAATCATAGGTCGGCCGTAAATGACGTCAGAGTGACGTCATGTTCGGCCAATTTCGACTCAAAACATTGAACCACGGGAATCGCTCCCAAGAGCTCAGTTTTGAGCTAGATCCTTTTTTTTGCATAAGAGGACTTAAAATGGACTTCACTCACTATCAAACTGCTATCTCGAATTTTCAAAATTTTAAAAATTACGAATATTATATATATTAAAATTCAAAATTTGTAGTTTTATCTTTTTTTCAAAAACTTTTTCACTTTTTCGAAAAACCAGAATATTTATGATAGAACACATGCTTATGACTAACTCTAGCAAGTTATAGCTAGATATCTTAAAAATGGCCAAGGTATACGCATTATAGCAAAAATTTCCCAATTCAAATTTTTCAAATCAATTTTTCTGTACAAATGACATCGTACACCAATAACAATAGCACCATCATGTTTCTGAGCTCAAACTGCATCTGATAGACATGTTTTTTTGTTGACAACTTTCAACTTCGAAATTTGGCCTTTTTTTACCTGACCTCAGGTATATTCAGGTGAAAATGGCCTCAAATGACACAGGCGACACCGAATTCGAAGTCTATGGCCTAAATGGACCATAAAACATGTGTCACGTGACCGACTTATGACAAAAGATTTCCGTGACCTATGATGACCTGACCCGGACCTGAAAATCAAAGTACAAGTTTCGTACCCTCAGGGTATCTAAAACATCTGTTCAAGTGTGTAAACCACAAATCAGCCTGATATGACTTGTAAGACGGCAGCCAGAGCCCAAAAAGTGAATAAGCTAAATATCGATAATTTTTGCTTTGACCTGACCTGTGACGTCATCGGTGACCTCGAGGTCAATGAAATTAGGTTTCGTACGACAGTTCTTCCGGGGCTCTCAGATGCCGTTTTAATTTTGACGATCGGCCTAGTAGTTTCGGAGTTAGGAAGGGGGGGCTATGAATAGCCCCCCCCCCCCAGTGGGGCGTGTTATACACAGACCCCAGTGGGGCGCGGGTTAAGCAGTCTAAATGGGTGCACCCATTCAGGCTGCTTAAAATAAGCAGTTTCAATCAGCTTCAATCTTTCATTTGGTCCCAAATGCTTTGACCTGCGCTGGTTTCCCTTGGCGAGGCAGCCCGAGAGGTCATCAACGTACCGCGAGTCATCTGACCTGTCTAGATAGAACAGCTTCATACCGGCCGCAGACGGTTATGAGCGGTTTCAGTCGCATTTAGTCACATGACGCATGGTTGATTATGCATTATGCATATTGCAAACAAGTGTTAACACCATCTGCCGCGAACTGCCGCTAACGTGCGCTGTAACGGTAACATATCGCGGTCCGTTGTGGTGATGGATCAGTAATCGATGCAGCAATGACGGTTCAGTAATCGATCCAGCAATGACGGTTCAGTAATCGATCCAGCAATGACGGTTCAATAATCGATCCAGCAATGACGGTTCAGTAATCGATCCAGCAATGACGGTTCAGTAATCGATCCAGCAATGACGGTTCAATAATCGATCCAGCAATGACGGTTCAGTAATCGATCTAGCAATGACGATTCAGTAATCGATCCAGCAATGACGGTTCAGTAATCGATCCAGCAGTGACGGTTCAGTAATCGATCCAGCAATGACGGTTCATTAATCGATCCAGCAATGACGGTTCAGTAATCGATCCACCAAGGTGGTAGGTATGTACCGGATGTTACAGAATATGCGCACGGATCAAGGAAAATTGATATGGTATCTGATCCCAGGGATCCTGATTTCGGATCCGATTAGGACATAGATCTAGCTCTTTGATTTGTTTTCAATAAAGATACCAAGCTTGAAATATATTCTGCACATTTTTTCAATGAATTTCTCCGATATTATGAGCATACGGTCAAATTTCCCATTTCTGTTTATTACAATCATGCTCAAAGAAACGTTGTATCGTATAAAACTCTTTGATTTGTCGCGAAATTCATCGGAATGATAGATCCGAACATAACATTTGCCTAGAGATCCGGTGAGATCATAGATCCTTAAACAATTTTGATCTGCATTTCTGGCATTGTGCTTTAACTTGCGTATCTGTGCAAAGGAAACGTTTCCTGATATATTGTGGATTATTTTCATTATTTTTCATTAACCGTTGTTTTATATGACAACCTACGCTATAAGGTAGCGGCATTTTTCTCTGAAGACCCCGAGATTCGCCAATCACTACGTTTCCATGACACGTCTAAATCGATTTAGCGAAATTTCGCGTGCGTTTTTCTCGGAAACTATTTACCTTATGCAAAAAACGAGCGTATATATGGTTTTAGCTAGCACCTAATCCTATATTTACATTTTTACATTATGCCTAAATGCTATGATGGAGCAAATCCATTTTTCAAAATTGGCTTAACTTGTGCCATGGAAACGTAGCCAATATGATGTCTAATGGCTCGTATAAATAGATCCGTCATCTGTCATAAGCACATCATGACGGTCGTCTGTGTACCACCGCCAGGTATCCGGAACTCCACTCCTGGTCAGGGCTCTGGTGGTAATGGGTCCTCTCCTGCTCAGGTCCCTGGTGGTGGTCGCTGCACTCTCCGCCACCCCGGCTGGTAAGTTCAACTGCCAACGTCATCAGAGCTAGTATCGCCCGTAAAATGTCTGTAAGCGGGCAGCAGCCCATGAATAAACATTGGATATAAACAAGTTAACATATTGAGGCTGTTTGGCAAAGTGTTTTGATAGGCGGGTTTGTAACATCCGTGATGTCCGTGTTCGGATGAAGACGTGTTGGTCGGATGAGTATGTCGCGCATGATAGTCATATTGTCGTAACTTCTGTATACTCCCTCGGTGAAGTATTTTAGGCTCAAAACGCACCATTGCACGCAGCAGACAGCACGATTCGTTGCATAGGCGTAGGAACAGGGGGGGCCGGGAGGGCCATGGCCCCCCCCACTTTCGGAGGTGGGGGGCCAGCAATGTTAACTGCCCCCCCCCCCCCACTTTTTGCTGACTTAAGTGTCTGTCTGTACCTAACCTACCACCCGGTAACTTGACAACTATTCAGCTTGCCCTTTAATGAGGATTCCTTTTTGTTTTTACAGCGTTATTGACCGCAATTTCCTTCACTCAATGAAGGAAACCATATCAGAGACAAGACTGTGAGTCCTGGTGACAGCATTTTGTTGAATACGAGGCGCGGGACAGCGAGCACTAAAAAGGTATAGGCAATACTAAGACAATACTAGCACGGTGCAGGAGAATGCGTATACAAACGACCAACGCTTGACCTTATCTGCTTGGGGTCGGCATAGTTCGTCAAAGGCGTACTAGCTGGGGGCCAGGGTGACCGTGCCTCAGCCTCGGTTCAAACAGGCTGGGGGCCAGCAATGTCTGTTTCTGTCCCTCCCCCTTCCACTTTCAGTGCAGTGGCGGTCGCAGAGGGGATCAGGGCCATGCCCTTCCCCCCTCCAAAGGCTAATCAGGGGGCCATCATATCATTTGGCCCCCCAAACAACCAATGGGCCCCCATGGGCGTATGGGGCTCTGGCCCTTATTCGATTGCCACGAGACTCAAGAATCCCACGCTAGCTATTAACAGCTCCCAAACCAGTCTTTGAGGGTCCTACACTGATCTCGGAGGGCCCTTCAGTGGCGGTCAAGCGCCCACATTGACCGCTGAGAACCCACATTGACCTCATTTGAGGGCCCCTAAACCGGCCTCAAGGGCCCAGCCGGCGTCTGAGGGCCTCACACCGGCCTCTGGTGGCCTCATTTCTGTCTCTGGGGTCCCAAGACTAGCCTTTAGGTGCCTTTGAGGGCCCCGCACTGAAGTCTGAAGACCCGATGCCGGCCTCTAAGGGTCCGCATCGGCCTCTGAGGGTCCACCTTGGCCTGAGGGGTCCAACGCCGGCCCATGCCGGTCTTTTAGGGCCCCACACTGACCTCTAAGGGCCCATGCTGACCTGTAAGGACCCACATTAGCCTATGAGGCCTTGCACGGGATTCTGAAGACCTGATGCCGGCCCCTGAGGCCCATCTTGGTTTTTGAGGGCCTTCTGCTGGTTTCTGGGTTCCAACACCGGCCCATGCCGGTATTTTAGGGTCCCACATTGACCTCTAAGGGCCCCGCACTGGATTCCGGAGATCCGATGCCGGTCTCCAAGGGTCCGCATCGGCCTCTGAGGGCTCACCTTGGCCTATGAGGGCCCTCCGCTGGTCTCTAGGTTCCAAGTCCCGCCCATGCCGGTCTGTTACGGCCCCACACTGACCTCTAAGGGCCCATGCTGGCCTGTAAGGACACGCATTAGTCTCTGAGGGCCTTGCACTGGATTCTGAAGACCCGATGCTGGCCTCTGAGGCCCATCTTGGTTTTTGAGGGTCTTCTGCTGGCCTCTGGGGTCCAACACCGGCCCATGCCGGCATTTTAGGGTCCCACACTGACCTCTGAGGGCCCATACTGGCCTGTAAGGACCCACATTAGCCTCTGATGGCCCAAGTCGGCATCTCATCCTGCCCTTTGCAGGCCCTGTACTGGTCTCTGAGGGCCTTAACCCTCGCCGGCCGGGGGGGGGGCGGGTGCCGCCCCTCCACAGGTTTTTTTTTTTCGCGATAGCTCCGAACACGCCGGCGATAGAGAGCTGAAGCTTGGCATACCTGACCTTTGAATCAAACGGGATCTTTTGACACCAACCGCATTTTCGGGTCAGATCAGGTCACTGACCCATGTGGTCATAAGTGAACCTCTGCACGGTCTTCAGCTGTCGCAACTTCGCAACGCCCTCACTGCCAGAGGAGATTTCACAGGGAAATGAACCTTGGAGGACCTAGTATCCAATAGGAGTCTCTCAACTTGTATGATGTATATCTCGGATTTTTCCTAAAGTTCATATGAGGTCATGTCATTTTCGTGACCTCACCATTAGGTATACCTAAGTCAATGGGGATAAACTGAAAACTTTTTTCTGGCGCCGGGAACGATCGATCTCCAACTATCTCAAGCACACCGAATCGTGATTTCATGCACTCCTTGCAAGGTTCGATGCGTCACTTTTGCAATATTGACCTTGCGCGACGTCATTTATGAAGTTATAAGGGTCTTATTAGTTTTTCGTCAATAACTAGGTACCGATCAAATTGAGCTAGCGAGTCGGGAAAGCCACCTATGGACTCAAGAAGACCTGCTGAATCGAATGATATGCGACATGACCTCCTTCGACCAATTTCGTGACCTGGGGACGCCGACCTGACCGTGACCCGAGGTCAACACCCTAAGTTTACCTCACCCAAACAAAAAGTATATCATTCGACGCGCCTGAGAGAGGCGAACACGATGCTGGCAAAATCGCGGCTCTGCGGCCATTTTTTTGCGAAGTTATTCACCAAAAACGGAACCGTGCCTTGAGGCACTTGACCTGACCTCAGAGGTCACCGGTTTTTGTTTGTTTTGTTGGGTTAGGCCCTTTCGGTCCAATGAGACCATTTCAGAGCCGGAAGGATGATAGGATATAGGGGGAGACATTGGTCTGGCAGGCACCCTAGTGAGTCGCCGGGGCTGAGCCCGTCCAGAGGACAGGCCACCCAGCCCCAAGGCACTCACTGCACCCGGCTACGGGGTGCGCTCCCTCGGGAGCAGCGGTGCCGCTCCAAGGGAGCAGCCCGCATGAGATAAAGTTGCCTGTCCAGCCCGGAGGGGGTTGCGGTGTGGAGGAGAAGGATTTCAGTATCCTGAGGATAGAAGCACGGAACGGTGTCAGAGGTCACCGGTTGACCTAGGACCATAAAATCGGGTATCGATCTCTGCGTCTCGTAACGGCGCACACGCTCGTTTTACCGCGACGCGCTAGCTCCACCTGGGGCGAAACGGCGAGGGGGGTCGTACCCGCCCCCGCCCCCTCGGCCAGCGCGTATGTAGAAAACCTATAGGACCGGGCCGTGGAGGGTTAAACTGGCCTCTGAAGGCCCAGACCGTCTAAAAGTCCCACACCGGCCTCTGATAAGTGATAGTCAGTCAGCCCAGTTGCAGTGGTCGCTGATATAAAACCTCTTAAAAACGTTATAGGCCTGGCTGAGCCTAGCTGGGCCGTTCATGCTGATTTTTATAGGTATATTGAAAAGACTCGCTTTGCACGTTTCACGCTTGCTCGTAATGAAAAAGTTGCTGGATGCCTCTGGAATTTGCATGGGTGCCAACGGCTGCGGAGGACAGGGAAACGCGTCCATCAGTTTGAGTTTATGGACGGGAGACTCCCTGAAATTTCAACCAATTTTTTTCTTTTTTTGTCTCGATTTTTTTTTACCTCTGAGCATGTTTGCGAAAACAAAGTGGCCGAAATCCGAGGAGAAATCGGATTTTGGGGGTAGGTTAGGTTTTGGACCTCTGGGACCCTGGCCCCCCCACTTTCGAAAACGTTCCTACGCCTATGATTCGTTGACGTTCGTTTTAGCTGCTAAATGTTTGACTTGCATGACACGCTAGGCCACTGTTTGATGACTGCTGATTTTTCCCGGTGCACGCATCCTATACGCAGAACTGACCCGGACACAGCGCGCTGCGGCAAAACGACATACTTTATCCTTGTCGCTTGCTCAATCGCACGAGTATACCGCGCTGTTGGTATATAATTATAGCACTGCAACACAATATGTGATATGATATACTAATAGCATTGACGGAGGTGTAATGATCATTGTTAGGTGTCTATGCTTTTGTGGTAAAGCTTTATGGACTTAGTTCCATAGGCACTATAGGCAATAGGCATGTCTTTTGTGGCATCATATTGGACCTTCCTCCCCCCCCCCCCCCGCTCAGCAGCTTTGACTACCGGGGATCGGGCCGGCCATGAGTCCCCCACCCTCAAACTGAAAGTCTGGATCCACCCTGGTGCCCTAGCTAATCACTTACTAGAATCAGCGCACACAGATATCGCGGTGTCGCATAGATGTCGCAGCTATAGCGACACATGCAGTGCAAATGGTAGCAGACAGCAGTAGTTTCCCCTACCAAAGTGGTGGTTTTCTACCACAGATGCTCGTCGAGGTCGGAATTTCCAAATACGCGGCTCGTATCATGTCTCTGCAGGTACCATCCTGCAATGAGTCCTGACCCTGATCGGAAATATGCATAACCTGTGCCCCGGAATGCACTACAAGCCAGAAACTGACCTTGTGACCTGCACCCTGACCTGTTGTGCCGGTCTTGTGGTCTTACTTGAGCCCTGGACTACGGCTTAATTGTGTTCGCTGACCTGTAGGGGAAGCCGGGGGAAGCCCTGGCGCGGGGGAAGCCCGGCCACCCCGTTTCCGGCTAAATTATTCACATTAAAATGCTCAACTGTTTGTCCTTTCAGCGTGGCAGCATAAGGTAACGCCAGCAAAAAAGTTAAGGCTAACACAAATTGCATATTGTTAAAGTTATAGAGCAAAAATGATATTTTAAGGGTTTTTAGCTAAAAAGTGAGATATGTTGCACTGATTAATGTTATACCATACAGTACCTACTAATATTTATTACGGAGCGAGCGAAGCGAGCGTAGTCTTTCCTTAGATTAACGGAAATTTCTGAGTATGAGCGGCCGGCCGGCCGGCCGGCCGGCCGTGCGGACGCTTTTGCGAGGCTTATATCTCAGCAACCACTTGACCGATTTACACGCGGTAATTTTTGTACGGTAGCTTCATTCCTTCTACCAAGTATTGTACTATTCCCGATGCATGTGGGTGACCCCTTATGCACGTGCCACGTGCAAAACGAAGAGGTGTCAGTTTTGTAATTGTTGCAATATATCGGTAACTACTTGGCCGATTGCGCTGAAAGTTGGCATGTAGGTAGGCACCCACTAGGCACTGCATATCCATGTGCCAGAGTTGGGGTGCTGCTGCACGTGCGCACGTGCAGGGGTCGTTTCCAGATCTCGAGAACGGCTGGACCGATGGCGCTCAAATTTGGTACACGGTTAGGGACCAGTTAGTAGGGTGCCGTGCACAAGTCAGTTGGGACCCATTTTGCACGTGCGCACGTGCAGAGTGCCGCTCCCAGGTCTCGAGAACGGCTGGGCCGATTGTGCTCAAATTTGGCACATCGCTAGAAACCGGTCAGTAGAGTGCCGTGCACAAGTCAGTTGGAGGTACCCCGTCGAAATTTCGCACGTGCAAGACTCACCCCCTCGCTCGCTCCGTTAGTCGCCCCAAAAGGCGCTATACTGGTACGAATGTTATGTAAGGACCGTTTAAGTGTTTGTAGTGAGGGGTGACGAGGCAGGCTGGCTTAAGTATGACATTTTTTTCGAACATCGCTGTTCTAAAATAAAAATTTAGCACATTGGGGTAACCCCGGGCGAGTGGCCAAGCTTACCCCAACCGAGAGCAATGCCACTTAACCACTGTTTTCCATGAGATAATAGGTACTGAGCAGGTTTGGTTTACACCTAGATCAAAGATAAATTTCGAAAATAAACATGTTATCATAGACAAAGCCAGTCATGTCACTTAAGGTCAACTAGGGTCAAACTACGTTTTTGCAGATAACGCGACAGACAATGAAGCTAGAGCTTCAAAAATGGTGTCGTTGTGTTTTTCTTCATCAGCCGAGTCGAATGATATGCAATATGATGCATTAAGGTAAAAAGAAAAAGAAATGTTAAGGAATTTTGAAATACACATTTTTTGTCAATTTTGCATCACGATTTTCATCGACCTGTACTGTGTATGTGGTAGACGCTAGCTATGTAAAATACCAGTAGTGACATAAACTCTAATATGTCCAGAGCTAATCAGTACCTTAATGTTTCACTTTCCGTTAATATTTGGAAGACACATAATGGTTTCATCAACTCGTTGTAAAGCGCTGGGGAGGTGGCCGGCGTTACCCCTATGCCGGGCTTACCCCAGAAAAATCAACACTTTTTTAAAACTAGATTTTCTCAACATTATACTTATTCCACGAAACCGAATTTTTGGGAAGACACGACCAATGAACTTAGCTAGCTAACAGGATATCAACATTTTATACAGCACGTATGGTATGTAATAAAAATGAAAAAGAGCTTACTATGCCGGGCTTCCCCCGGCTTCCCCTACCTACCATGACCTGGCGTCTGGCCCTTGTTATAGACAGATCCAGAAAGGCATTTTCAGACGCTGGAGGGGGGGGGGCATAGCCTAAAAAAACTTCTCCAAATTCCAAAATCACATTTTTATTACTTTTCACTCCTGGTCAGTTAAGGTCAATTTGTTTGCCATGAAAATTGTTGAGTTTTTCTAGTTTTTTTTTTCGAGAAAAAACTGCACATCATCGTTGATTTCTGTGTGAGGAGGGGTAGCTCCTTCAAATTCCCGTAGGATCCGCCAGTGGGCCCTGTGCCCTGTGTTCGTGCCCTGACCTGTGGCTGTGTTCTGACCCGTTGCCCGACCGCCCGTTGTCCCAGAGGTGTTGCCGGCTGCCCCGAGTCTGCAGGTGGCAGCACTGTCGCCGACCGCGCTGCAGGTCACGTGGCAGCCCGGTCAAGGTCACGTGGCAGCGCTGCCCACTGATTGGTTCGTGGTGACTGTGACGCCTTTGCGCTCCTTCGACCCAGACAAGATGGCACTGTTGCCTAGCAACGAGACGGTGATGAACCCCGCGAATGCCGTGGACGAAACTGTACATATGTTTAATGTGAGTAGTTGAGTGCAACGAGTTGGCTATGTCTGTGACGTCCAACGACTTCACATCACCAGTCTGTACACTATTAGAGGAAGGTGGCAACATAATTGTGAATAGGCATACCTACACCATTATGATGCTTTCACTAATGAATTTATTTTCGGAAATATCTTTTAAACCAGATTAGGTACTGACAAACAATCGGTATATCTTGTGAGATTGAGAGGAAGAGGGGAAGTGAGAGCGGGAGCAAGTGAGTGAAGTGAGTGAGTGAGTGAGTGAGTGAGTGAGTGAGTGAGTGAGTGAGTGAGTGAGTGAGTGTGTGAGTGAGCCAGTGGGTGAGTGAGTGAGTGAGTGAGTGAGTGAGTGAGTGAGTGAGCGAGTGGGTGAGTGAGTGAGTGAGTGAGTGAGTGAGTGAGTGAGTGAGTGAGTGGGTAGGTGGGTGGATGAGTGAGTAAGTGAGTGAGTGAGTGAGTGAGTGAGTGAGTGAGTGAGTGAGTGAGTGAGTGAGTGAGTGAGTGAGTAAATGGTTGAGTGGGTTAGAGGGAGGGAGAGAGACGCCTCTAAAGAGTGACACTTGACGCGCCATGGGCGGTACTGGGTTTAAGTGATAAGAGAGCCGCTTTGTGGCAATTAAGAGAGTTGAATGTTGATAAATAGTGTCGTGTTGAATGGTGCAAAGACCTCCATTGACAGGTGACCCCTGTGCGCCCTCAGGCCAGCGCAGAGCAGCGATCTCTAAACGTCACAGCACTCCATCCCCTGCACATGTACGAGGTGTCGGTGACGGCCCACAGCTCTCTGGGAATCAGCGCCAGCTTGGACCGGGTCCGCGCCGTCACCTGGATCCCGGATACCTCGGCCGGATCCGGGACACCGCCTCCTCTGACCGCCGTCCGTGACTGCTGCCAGCGCGCCGGTATCCCGGCACAGTCGGGCTGTGTGCAGATGCTCTGTAACCCGCCCAGCGCTGCTAATTCCACCTATCAAGCTAATACAATTGCGACGGTGGTGTGCTCGAACTGGATTCGGCAGAGTTTCGCGTGCATGACGGACGGCCAGGACCACCGCGACTGCTGCCGGGCGCGTGGTCTTCCTGATCGCTGCGTACAGCTGTGCGCGCCGGCGGCACCGGTCACCACCGCGCACCTGGGGTGAGTAGACAGACCCGCAGGCCTGTTCATGGTGTATTTAGTCTGACGTAACGCTCACGGACTTGTGTGTCCATTTAATCCTCACCCTTATTGGTGTTTTGCCAACCGCGACCCCCGCCCCTCCCCCCCCCCCTTACCGTTCGGCAATTCGGCAAAAACGATCGAGCTAGAGCTTTACGAAAAAAAAAACGAGCATGTTGCCTGTGACGAGAGGAAGGATACCCAATGGCAATGTCCTAGGTCATTGGTTGATCTTCCAGGTCAGGCCAATAACCCAAAGGTCGGGAAAATCGGGATCAGTCAGAACTACGTAAATGGAGGTTGTCATATGTTTTTTTTTTTTTTGGTGCTGTTCGCGAATTTGATCGCATTAATGTCTTCATGCATTTAGGGCAGGTCGGGTCAAGTCAGGTTAGGTCAACCAGTAGGCGTCCTGCTGGCTATCCATAGTAGGTGTCAACTACCACTGACGGCGTCGTAACATGTTACGAAGGCACCAAAACTACTTCATGAATGTTCAAATGGATGCTAAATTCGAAATCAGCTCCCAAACCTCTCCTAGACACATGTAAAACTCGAAAAAGTGAACCAAGATCATCAACGGTTAATGACCTTGACCGGACCTTCACGTGATCTTAGGACCCACCATAATGCATTGGACCCACAGCATTTCACATGTTACAACCACACTGACGGGAAACGCGCGGATAATATGAGGCGGCATACGCCGAATCGGGATTTTGGCCAAACGTGGTCAGAAATAGGTCACAGGTCATTTGGGTCAGGGTCATGAAATTTTTAGGGTAGGTGTAAAATTGATCAAATTGATGGTACTGAAAGTTTTGTCTGTCGCGCGACCGGCCACTTTTTGCGCTAGACATTTGCAACACAAAAAAATGAAGACCTTTCGTCTTCCCCTCCCCCCATAAGTCCGAGGATTAAAAGTGAAACCAAGATCAATGTTTTAGTGTTAACACGCGCAGTGGAAGGGGGGGGGGCGGATTTCGCCCACCCCTCCTGTTTTTCGCCAATAACTCGCGCCGCAAGTACAATATCAATGTGAAATTCCGGCTACCTGTCCAGAATTGAATAGCGGATCTTCTCGTGCAAGAAGTAAGAAAATCGGTTCACAACTTTTCTAGTAATAGCGGTGTAAAGTCAAACATCGTGCCGCCGCGGCGGCGCGGCGGCCGGCGCTAGCCGTTACGCGCCGCCTGAATTGTAGACTGTGCCGGGGCGGGACGGTTCCGTCTTTACATCGCGCTCCTTACCGCTGATTATTTTAGATTCGCGTCAAATTCGGTGAGAAGACTGAGAATTGTACAGGCAATCATATGGTCAAAGAATTTGGAAAATCGGCCGGTAACAACTTGAGTTATGAGTGTGTAAACACAAAATTGTGATTGCCGCGTTTCCCGCGTCGGCCGATGCCGCTTCAGCCGGCGACATCTTACCCTTAGCAGGCTTCTAACTGCCATATTTATTGTTGGATTGTCTAGAAATTCACCATACATACTCACAAATGTTTGCTCTTTCGTATAGTTAAAGTTTTAAAAAAATCGGCCGGTAACTTTTTGAGTTATCGGCGTGTAAACGCAAAAAAGTCGCTAATATGGCAGATTTGACCACATTTGACCTCATTTGACCTTGAAGATATTGACCTAGGGTCACGAAATTCACACACAATAGAGTTCCCCCCCAAGGCCCCCACCTACCCTCCAAATTTCGTCTTTCTAGCTCCAGTGGGAGCTGAGATCTTAGGGGGGGGCGACATCCGCCCCCCCCCCTTCCACTGGGCGTAGTACTCGCAACCCTTCCACTGCGCGTGTTAATAAATGCCAATAAAGCGCACGAGTGAGTGCGCTACACTTGTGTTGTGAAATTTACACATGAAATTGTCCGAAACTGCTGAGGGTTTTCCATACACATACAGGTATCCTTGCTGAGAACTACTAAGAGCAATATCAATAGATCGCACATATTTACATGCATAGTACATACACTCTATTTACAGTGTACAAAATTACAAAGGGCGCAATCGAGTGCAGGTCACTACAGTTGTGCGCCCATATGCATGCCTGGAGCTGACATTTGGCCAACATGCAGGGTGATCACACCACCATCGTGTCGTTGTGCAGGTGCGTGCTGGTGTTCATGTCCAGTTACTCGTTCTGCTTTTCGAGAACCCCGCCGTGCTGCCTTCTGCGCCACTGGGACCGCGGACAGCGCTGGTCCAACCCGACTGGGCTGTGCTTCGGTGGAACGAACCGAAACGACTGCCAGACACCGTACTCGGGTGAGTGAGCGAGTCAGATAAGCCAGAGGGTGTACCTACAGGGTGTGCGCGCTCAAATGATCGTATCTGGTTGAAATTGTACAAAATAATACATTTAAATACATGCATGTATGTACAAGTATATTTGCGTCGTGATGAGTCATAAGCACTCAGAGCGTCTATGCACACTAAACACATTACGCTGTTATTGCTCTTTCTTTTACCACTCGCAGGTACACCGTGAGAGTTCGCGAGCTCGGCGACTCGGAATTGAATGACACCTACACTGCAATCGCTGGCCAGCACTCTCCATTCCTGTTGGACCGTCTGACCGGCGGTCGGACGTATGAGTTCTTCGTCACGGCGGTCAACGACCTCGGCGAGGGCGAGCGCAGTAACCGGGTCATCTTTGAGGTAGGTCGATGATCACGGGCATGATCAAAGTACCCGGGCGATGTCTGAAGTACGTGGGAATGTTCGGCATCTTTGGCAGCAGTGTTTCGTCTGCTGAACTTGCAGGGTAGGTACTGTGATTTATTTATTTTCTGCAACGCACGGTTTTCGTTAGAAGAGGAAGCATAGCTGGTGATGGGGAAGCATGGTCTTTCCGTCCCGGCACCAAAATGCTCCCGTTACCCGGGACTGTCCGATATGACTCTGTAAGGGGTCGGGGCCTGCTCAACAAGCCCTGCTTAGCGTGGGCTCCGGCTCTGTCAATCCGTTCATTCAAGCATTCGAGCCTGATTGATAAAAATACTCAGTTTATCTCTGAGTATCTACCCACAGACGCCGCCGGCTGAACCCGATCTACTGGAAGACGGGTCGGGCGCTCCGACCTCCGTGGACCCCGCTGTGTGCTGCCGTGAGAGCGGCGTCCCTCCTCGCTGCCAGAAGTTCTGCTCTTACTCGGGAATGGCCGAGGAAAAAGAGTTTGGAAATGGGTGTGAGAACTACTGGACGCAGGTTGGTCGGTGCTGTTGTCGCAAATGTGAGAAAACATGGAACATATGCATGTTAACCCGCGCCCCACTGGGGGGGGGGGCTATTTATAGCCCCCCCTCCCGTTTTTCTGCAATAACTTCCAAACCGCTTGACGAATCGACGCCAAACTTTCAGTACCTTCGGCTGCATCAATTTGACACCTTGTGTCAAAATTTGAACTTCGTAGCTACCATAGGTCGGCCGGAAATGACGTCAGAGTGACATCATGTTCGTCCGATTTCGACGCAAAACATTGAACCACGGCAATCGCTCCCAAGAGCTCAGTTTTTAAGCTAGATCCAATTTCTTTGCATGAAAGGACTCAAAATTAACCGCGCTATCAAACTGCTATCTCGGATTTTCAAAATTTTGAAAATTTTGAAAATTTTATATAATAATATTCAAAATTTATATTTTTATATTTTTTTCAAAAAGTTTTTGACTTTTCGAAAAAACCGGAATATATGTGACAGAACGCATGATTATGACTAACTCTAGCAAGTTTTAGCTAAATATCTTCAAAAATGGCCAAGTTATACGCATTATTGCAAAAAATTCACAATTATTAATTTTTCAAATCAATTTTTCAGTACGTATTTGGCATCGTACACCAATATAAATGGCACCATCGTGTTCCTGAGCTCAAACTGCATCCAATAGACACCTTGTTTGTTGAAAAATTTCAACTTCAAAATTTGACCTTTTTTGACCTGAAAGTGACCTGACCTAAGCTAATTTCGACTCAAAATGACCTTGAATGGCACAGACGACATCAAATTCGAAATCTATGGCCTAAATAGACCATAAAACATGTGTCACGTGACCGACGCATGATATAATATTTTCGTGACTTGTGATGACCTGACCCTGACCTGAAAATCAAAGTACAAGTTTGGTACCCTCAAGGTATCTAGAGCATCTGTTCACGAGTGCGGAAACCAAAAATGAGCCTGATCTGACTTGTAAGACGGCGGCCAGAGCCCAAAATGTGAACAAGCCAAAGTGCTAATAATTTTTACTTTGACCTGACCTGTGACGTCATCGGTGACCTCGAGGTCAATGAAATTAGGTTTCGTTCGACAGTTTTTCCGGGGCTATCAGACGCCGTTTGAATTTTGACGATCGGCCCAGTAGTTTCGGAGTTAGGAGGGGGGGCTATGAATAGCCCCCCCCCCCCCCCAGTAGGGCGTGTTATACACAGACCCCAGTGGGGCGCGGGTTAAGTGATGTAAGAACGAGCATTTGTAAGAGCAGGGCCGTTTAACCCTATTCCTGGCGGGCTCCGCCGGGACAAGAAACTGGCGGGGGGGGCCGATTCGGCCCCCCCCCTGAGATCTCGAGAACGAAGCAAGATAGCGACAAGCGGTAAACGGCATCGGATACGCACGGTCAAGATCTACAATTTTTACTAAGGTCATTTTCAGGTCAGGTCAAAGATGACGTCACAGGGGTCGAAAAAGTCAAAATGGCGGCGCTAGATATGGAGAGAGTTTTTCTCGAATAACTTTCGAATTAGTCAAGATAGGAACAAACTAAGGGCATCATCGTGATCCTCTCGTCAATCCGCATCGAATGATATATATGTTGACCTCGAAAGGTCAAGGTCAAAGGTTGACCTTAGGTCACGTGACCTCGAGGTCATCATGTATATCATTCGATGCGTCTTGACGAGCTGAACACAATGAGACCATCCACGCGTCTGTATCTTGTTCCTGTACGGAGTTATTGGCCAAAAACCTTTGGTGACCTTTGATGACGTCACATGACCTCACAGCTGCCCAACAGCAAAACAGACCTCAAGGTAGTGAAGGTTGATCGTATATGAAGTCATGTATGGTATATGGGGCCATTCCGACCCGTTTTAGTGGTAAAAACAGGGAGTTGATTTTTCCCCCATTGACTTATAATGGGGAGGTCGCGAAACTGACCTGACCTTAGGTCACCGATATCAAAATTCCGAGATATACAAAGTGCACATACTGGTACCCTAACTAAAGCCTGAAGAGAAGAAATTGATCGGTCAAAAACTCTAGCTCTGGCGTGATTGCAAACTTTTCTGAGGTAGGGTCACCAAACCGCCTCTGGTGACCTGACCTGAGGTCAGATCAACTCAAAATTTTCAGACATGTTGCGTAGAAGCCTTTTAGGAAAAGTCAGAAAATTTGAGCTTCCTAGCTCAACGCGTTTGGGAGAAATAACCAAAAAACCTCAGGGGGGGCTCCTGAAGCCCCCCCCCCCCCGCCAGGAATAGGGTTAAAGGGGCAAATTTTTGTGTGCACTGGTTCTTCCTATATTTCTGCTTCTTCAAGAAAAAAAAAATGAATAAAGGTATGTGGGAAGGCCTGTCGTATGAAAACACACCGGGTTCTGTGCCTACGTAACAGCAACAAAAACAGTTTATTGGCGAACGGAACAACGGGGCTGTCCGGAACAGCGGAATTGTTTATTTTACTAATTATCAGTAAGTTTTCCTCCACAGAACATAGTCTGTTTAGTCATAGAAGACAATACTTGAACACCAGCTATTTCTTTATTGAATGGGAGCTTTCGAAAGCTATGCAGCTTTCTTCGTCAGCCTTCTTCTTCGTCAGCTTTCTTCGTCAGCCGTCAGCCTTTTTCATGGATCTGTTTTAGTGTTTTTTACCAAGGCTGACGAAGAAAGCTGCATAGCTTTCGAAAGCTCCCATTCAATAAAGAAATGGCTGGTGTTCAATTATTGTCTTCCATAACTATGCAACCGTTCCAGCTAAATAACAATTTTTAGAAGGACATACTCTGACTAATGAACTTGGCAGTTGGTCTATGTTGCTTTTCTTGACATGCTATTCATTCATACCTACACTTGCATTGCCGTCTCGTCTGCACCAAAGTCCTCATGCACGCTTTGTTGCTTTCCTGCTCTCCCTTTGTTGTTGTTGCTGTTGTTGTTTTTATTCAGACCTCTCTCCAACGGGTTCGGTATGTCCCATTTACAGGAGAGTTCCTGCTCCTCCAACATCAACGTGTTGTAGTTGTTGTAGTTGTAGTTGTTGTAGTTGTTGTTGTTGTTGTTGTTGTTGCTGTTTTGCTCACAGCTCTCGGCCTGCCGCAGATTGTCGGCTGTGTTGTTGTTGTTGTTGTTGTTGTTGTTGTTGTTGTTGTTTTGCTCACACATCTCTCGGCCCGCCGTAGATTGCCGGATGTGTTGTTATTGCTGCTGTTGTTGTTGTAGTTGTTGTTGTTGTTGTTGTAGTAATAGTAGTAGTAGTAGCAGCAGTAGTAGTAGTAGTAGTAGTAGTAGTAGTAGTAGTAGTAGTAGTAGTAGTAGTAGTAGTAGTAGTAGTAGTAGTAGTAGTAGTTGTTGTTGTTGTTGTTGTTGTTGTTGTTGTTGTTGTTGTTTTGCTCACAGCTCTCGGCCTGCCGCAGATTGCCGGCTGCGCGACTGAAGGACGGGGACGGGATACCGGCCGCTGTTGTACAGTGGCTCTGCCGGATCCGTGCCGGTCCCTCTGTGAGGGCCGCGCCCTGGGGGACGACTGTCGCCGGGCCGCCCTGTACCTCCTGCGCTGCGCCACCTGGCAGGGCGTCAGGCGACCCCCGGCCGTCACGGGGACACACGTCACCAATGTGACGGATGATTCGGTGACACTGGTGTGGCAGCGGCAGAACAGCACCGACCAGTACCAGGTGAGGTGGGGGCGAGATCTGACAATTACAGATCACCGGGATACAGACATCAAACCAAACACCGACCAAGAGCTTAGGACATCATATACCAAACATCGATACAGTATAGGAATTAGGAGATATAGGGGAGAGTGGGGCAATGGCGACACCATAAGCATTTTGCTCAATAGCTCAGCTATTTGAAGCTATTTTATGGTGATTTTGACTGTGGTTATAGCCAAAGGAATAGGCTTTCAGATAACACCCAGTTTTAGTATCTCAGATCACTGATGACAGATTCCGAGCCTACGCGAAAATGTGGTGAAAAATGGAGGTGCAAAAAAGCGAGGGGTAATGCCGGCCACTAAGTGCAATAGCACAAAAAGTCGAAATATCGTCACTGGTATTCATCCTTAAACCGTTCTTTCGATGGAAATCTAAGTGAGAATTAAGAAACGACAACTGTATTCAGCAGTTAACAGTGCACTGCACTGCAACACAACACTGCACTCGCTGCAACACAACAGCGCGGCGCCAACAGAGCAGCAAACTAACACAACCGTAAACAGCAAGCAAACTAACACAGCCGTAAACACAGCAACCCGAAACGTTGAGCTTTAACGACAGAAGTCGCAAACAAAACCGCGTGGAGTCATTCCGGACACGTGTCCGGTATTACCCCGAGGTCAGCTTTATTTTAAGAAAGCAGGCAGCAGTCAAAGGCATTGCGTCGCAAACGCTTCACATCCAGCAGTCACCTAAGAAATGCTTAATTGAAGGTCATTGCAAAGCAGCACTTCTGAAAATGCGTTAACACATTTCACAGTCAGCAAATAGATGCAACAAAAATTAAAAATCAGATACGAAAAACACATTTAACGCTATAAAAATGAAAATAATGGAACTACCGTGACAAACTTGCACCACGTGCTAGAATGGCGCTCAACTGAAATGTAAACAACATCAGCTGATTAGTGATGGACAAAGTACTCACTAGAGATGGGTGGCCGGCATTACCCACCGTCCGCCATTGCCCCGCTCTCCCCTACATACCTAGTTTCCAAATTAAGAGCATTTAATGCATTTAATTTGTTTTCAGAAAGCTGGTAGGATATAAAAACATCAGATTTGAAATACGAAATACCAAGTCGATAAGCTTCGGTTTCATACTGGTAGGTATAATGAAACGTTGGTATTCCTTTGGCATTTCTAACGTGAGCAGAGCCCATGTGTTGTTGTGATAGTTACTGCACAAGGAGACTCATGTCTGACGCAAAAATGGGGTTCAATGAACATCGGCTGTGTAACGTGGGCTGCTCCGTGCCGACAGGTCTTCTACGGAAAACTGAACTCGACTGAAGCTGTCTTCCACTGGCAAAACCGACTTGACCAGGTAAAATTGGTAGTCATATGGGTACGACCACTGGCGGACCCAACCGAGGCTGAGAGGCGGCCAACAACCAGAATTGATAGCCAAGTGTACGTTTCTTTTTGTGCACGCCTTGCAAAAGGTATGTGTAATGATACTAGTAATTTGATCTTGAACGGTGTAGGTATTCTGAGTCTGACCTCCTTGTTGCCGATATTAATTAAAATTAAATTTATGCTGAAGTAATTACGGAGCGAGCGAAGCGAGCGTAGTCTTTCCTTAGATTAACGGAAATTTCTGAGTATGAGCGGCCGGCCGTGGTCACGCTTTTGCGAGGCTTATATCTCAGCAACCACTTGACCGATTTACACGCGGTAATTTTTGTAGGGTAGCTTCATTCCTTCTACCAAGTATTGGACTATTCCCGATGCATGTGGGTGACCCCTTATGCACGTGCCACGTGCAAAACGAAGAGGTGTCAGTTTTGTAATTGTTGCAATATCTCGGTAACTACTTGGCCGATTGCGCTGAAAGTTGGCATGTAGGTAGGCACTCACTAGGCACTGCATATACATGTGCCAGAGTTGGGGTGCTGCTGCACGTGCGCACGTGCAGGGGTCGTTTCCAGATCTCGAGAACGGCTGGACCGATTGCGCTCAAATTTGGTACACGGTTAGGGACCGGTTAGTAGGGTGCCGTGCACAAGTCAGTTGGGACCCATCTTGCACGTGCGCACGTGCAGGGTGCCGCTTCCAGATCTCGAGAACGGCTGGGCCGATTGTGCCCAAATTTGGCACATCGCTAGAGACCAGTTAGTAGGGTGCCGTGCACAAGTCAGTTGGAGGTACCCCCTCGCAATTTCGCACGTGCAAGGCCCACCCTCTCGCTCGCTCCGTTAGTCGCCCCAAAAGGCGTTATACTGGTGGGTGAGGTGTAATAAGCAATAAGGGAAAAGGGTAAACACAATAATGTGATAGTCATCATTCCGTGCTTCTATCCTCAGGATACTGAAATCCTTCTCCTCTACGCCGCAACCCCCTTCCGGGCTGGACAGGCAACTTTATCTCATGCGGGCTGCTCCCTTGGAGCGGCACCGCTGCTCCCGAGGGAGCGCACCCCGTAGCCGGGTGCAGTGAGTGCCTTGGGGCTGGGTGGCCTGTCCTCTGGACGGGCTCAGCCCCGGCGACCCACTAGGGTGCCTGCCCAGACCAATGTCTCCCCCTATATCCTATCATCCTCCCGGCTCTGAAATGGTCTTAATGAACCGAAAGGGCCTAACCCAACAAGACAAACAAAACAAAATGTGATAGGCTGATAGCATGTCAGAGTAAGTGAGAACTGTAAGCCTAACACTTTTCTCTCTTGTCTTCCTTTTTAGTATTTTACGCTCAAACTTCTACCGTGTTGAACATACTAACGGTATAACGGTTGGCTCATGTACTGCCTCTCAGGTGAATCCAATGACGTCATTTCAGGTGATGGACGTCACTGGCACAACGCAGGCCCAAGTGGCGGTGGCTAGAGACGCCCTGTACGGGTTCTCTGTGTCCTATGTGGACGCAAATGGAACGCGGGCGCACTGGGGGTCGACCCTGCTGGTCAACGGGTCAGGTCAGCCGGGAATAAGGCGCAGATTATCAGCCCAACCATAGTGTGAGACCCCAGGCCGTTTGGATCAGAGTTGGTGTCTACGGTGTTTATTCATTCTTTGTATTTGGGTTACAAGGGCAGTTGCCGCTGCTGCTCAGCGCTAATTCCATTTGTAATGCCTATTGAACTGCTAATGAATGGTGATAACTGCTCAACCCCATGCCACCCATTTTCCCGCCTAAGCTCCGTGTGATTTTCGTGTGTTGGCGTTGTGACCAGCAGCTGGGTCTGGGCTCCCCAAGCTGTCGCCTCCCCACGGAGTGACAATCAGAGGAGTATCAGAACATGGCCTGGACGTCACCTGGGAACCGCCAGCTGATACGACCGGAGGCGTGAGTGTACGCTACAGGTCAGTCCAGAGGTCACACGGCCGCATTTCGGAGCGGTAAGGGTATGACGATAAAAGAAAGTTACGAAGGCAGCCTGAATATGTTTTCTCGTGTTTTCTGTTCATTTTAAGTCGTGGTCTTGTTTTTTTTTATAAATTTAGTTCGAATGTTTGAATGGACGGATTGACAGAGCCGAGGCCCACGCTGAGCAGAGCTTGTTACGTAGACCGCGACTCCTACCGCCCGATCGCGCAATTCCGGGTAACGGGAGAATTTAGATGCCAAAATTTAACGTGCCCTTCAAAGCCGGACATCGCCTGTCCCACTCAACCTCAACTGGCTGCGGATGCTCCCACTAACCGCAGACCATCCCCGTCAGGAGTCTCAAATATCGAGCGCCGGAGCGACTCGAACCCGGGCTCTCACTACCGGGAGTCCGGTGCTCTACCAACTGAGCTACGGGACAGAATTGTTCATGCCCTATTCATTATAGTTATAATGCTAGGGGTATAGTACAAATGCGGGATAAGATGCGTCGTGCTCGATTTTTTTCATGTAAGTACGTTTGTAGATATGTCATATTCTTTGGTCTGAATGCTTGATCAAGTGATGCTCACGTTGTTTCTCTGAAGGCTCTATTATCAGGCTGAGGGTGAGCCAGCACCAAGAGTTGTGCACTTGACGGATACGAGCCACAACCTCACGGGACTGGACGGTGGCACGGTGTACAGGTAAGTAGACAGGAGAGAGTGTGTGAGAGAGAGAGAGAGAGAGAGAGAGAGAGAGAGAGAGAGAGAGAGAGAGAGAGAGAGAGAGAGAGAGAGAGAGAGAGAGAGAGAGATAGAGAAATGTTAGGGTTACTTGGATGTGGATTTTGAGTCACTGAGATGAGTGTGAGATGTCAGATGAGTCTATGTGGGTGTGAGACGTTTAGTGTGAGCCGTGTAATCAGAGTTAGTCATTATTGCCACAACCATAACAATGATGATGACGATGATGATGATGATGATGATGATGATGATGATGATGATGATGATGATGATGATGATGATGATGATGATGATGATGATGATGATGATGATGATGATGATGATGATGATGATGATGATGATGATGATGATGATGATGACCTCCTCAGTGTGTGGGTAACAGCCGTGTCGGACGACGGAGCAGAGGGCGCTCCATCAGAAACGGTGGAGGAACGGACCAGGAACCCTCCGGAGATAGCACCGACTCTCCAGGTCAGGTGGCAGGGTCACACCAAACATCAGCTGTTCATGCTTTACACCGGTGTCACATAGAGCACCAACTGTTCATTATAGTACCGGTGCATCAGTGATCAGACTCAGGCACCAGTTTGAAACGTTAACCCGCGCCCCAAAGGGGGGGGGGCATTTAGCCCCCTAAGATCTCGAGAACCACGCAAAGAAGCGACAAGCAACAAACAATGTTGGATAGCCCCAACGGGGAACTACCTTGTGACCCAATTTCATTGACCTCAAACCGATGATGTCACAGGTCAGGTCAAATGTCGAATTTTCACTGTTTACAGGTATTTCAAGAAATGTGTTGTAAAATCGAGTAAAATGCATATTATTGAAAATACTCCATGGGAAATTGTTCGTCAAACACATATTTTGCTTTTAAGGTCACCGATACCAGTTCAGGTCACAGAGGTCAGGTCACTGAGGGTCATAATATGAAAATATCATGTAATTCATGTTTTATGGTCCATTTTACGTGACAAATGCGATTATGTGGGTCAGGCAGCTTTTTGGGGCAAGTTAAGGTTATGTTGTGGTGAAGGTCACTGGTCAGGTCAAGGTCAGGTCAAATTAGGTCAAATTTCAAACTTGATATTTTGCATAACATGGGTATCTATTCGATGCAACTCGTCACGGGGAGTCTGATGGTGGTCTTTGTTTTGCGCTACGTGGTCTAGAATTGCCTAAAATTGAGTTGGAAAATTTGACGTCATTTATTTTGAACAGTTTTTTCGCTATAACTTGGCCAAAGAAATAGGTATCGATCTAAAATTTGGTATATAGATAAAAGACGGCAGGTGCTTTATACCAATTTCGTTTTTTTGTGTTAAACTCGAAAACGTTTGGGATTGTAGGTATTGCTATTTTATCAACGACATCAATTTTTCACTGGGGGGGGGGTCGAAATCACAAAAAAATGAAAATCCGAGAGGACAGTTTTGTAACACCGTCTTTGCTCTACACGACTAGATAAAGAACTTTAAAATTGTTCGTTAACTGTAGCTTGTGTGAGCGTTTCAAGATTTTATGTTTTTTGCTCATTTTGCTCGAACATAACCGCAGTTTGACCTCATTTCTGACCTAAGGTGACCTAAAACTTGATTTTTTTTGTGAAGGTGTTAAATTTATGCCCGGGAAGGTTTTAAAAATTTGGCAGCGTTGCGGCGCCGCCGCTTTCTTGCTATTCAGGAAAAACTACGGGGGGGACCAAATCCCCCCCCCCCCCCCAGCGGGGCGAGGTTTAATTACGAGCGAGCGAGCGCAGCGAGCGAAGCGAGTATTTTCAATATAAGGGAAAAATCTCAGTATGAGCGGCCCGGCCCGGCCCGGCCCGGCCTGTAACGCTTTTGAGAGGCTTATATCTCCGCAACCGCTGGACCGATTGGCATGCGGTCTTTTTTGCTGGGTAGCCCCATCCCTTCTATCCCGTAATTGACTACTTTTGATACGCCTCAGTGACCGTCGTGGCACGTGCCACGTGAAAAGTCAAGGGTGTTCAAGCTGTCCTGCAAAAGTAGTGATTTTGAGAGGCTCATATCTCAGCAGCCGCTTGGGCGATTGACTTGCGGTGATTTTTGTAGGGTAGCAGCATCCCTTCTTCCAAAAATAGGACACTCTCGATGCATGTGGGTCACCCCCAGCGCACGTGCAAAATACATCAATAAGAGGTGTCAAATTTGTTCCCATTTTAATAACTCGGTAATTACTGGGGCGATTTCGCTGAAACTTGGCATACAAGTAGGCACCCACCAGGCAATGCATTCCCATGTGTTGCGGTTAGGGTGCTACTGCACGTGCGCACGTGCAGGGGGCGCTTCCAGATCTCGAGAACGGCTGGGCCGATTGCGCTCAAATTTGGTACACGGTTGGGGACCAGTTAGTAGGGTGCCGTGCAAAAGTCAGTTTGGACCCCGTTTGCACGTGCGCACGTGCAGAATGCCGCTTCCAGATCTCAGGAACGGCTGGGCCGATTGCGTTCAAATTTGGTACACCGCTAGCGACCGGTTAGAAGGGTGCTTTGCGCAAGCCCGCTGGAAGCACCCTCTCGCCCTTCCGCACGTGCAGGGCTCACTATCTCGCTCGCTCGTTCTTCGCCCAAAAGGCGTTTTACTGGTAGTTAATTTATAGCGTTAACAGCTGCAACATTTTTATTTTTAATAATTCTCAACGGTTCATATCAACATTCTTTTAATCAGGATTGTTTTAAAACACACATTGTATTGCTGTGCATTAAATTCATCAAGCTGCACCGGTCCCCAACTGACTGCGATCCGTCGGCTCAGCTCCCCAGGGTCGATCCCAGGGAGCCCACCGAGGGGGGCAACATGACCATCACCTGTGTGGCCACCGGGTCGCCGACACCGACGGTCACCCTGGTCCTCAATAATCGCGTGCGGAACCAGGTGAGCCACTTCTGAGTCAGGCGGGGGCTGCTGCAAGCTACGGATAGTTTTTTTTTTACGATACTTCGTCAATGTAAATGCCCTGGTGCCTGATGACTGAACTTTCCTGTTGCGTTTTAACTAAACAATGCATCGAGTTTTGCTAAATGTTAAGGTCTTTATCTTTATAGTAAGGTCTTTTAAGGTCTTTTATGTTATTATCTTTCCTCAATAATCAATAACCTAATCAATTCAGTAACTAGGGTGATTCATAGCCGTGTGACCGAAAATAAATGAAAACTACAGGAAATGCATTCGTGTTACATGCCATTGCCAAGTACCATATCAAACAGCCAAAACTGAAGTTTTGATCCATGTATAGCATCAGCCACAAATACTTTTCCTTCGACGCTCACACTTCTTTTAGACAAAATGTTCAAAATGGCCACCTCGGCGACGGATGCACTCCAGCGCCAGAGCCTAAAGTTGGCGCTGGCGCGGACGCCACAACATTTCTAAGGAAATAGAACCAAAGCAGCTTCCAATGGCATCCTTCAGCCCCAGAATATCCTGGGGACTCTCATCATAGACCTCGGACTTTGCATAGCCCCAGAGGAAGAATTCCACGACGTTGAACTCCGGCGAGTGTGGCGCCCACCTGACCTCAGCGCTCTTTGAAATCAACTTTCCGGGGTTCGCTTACCATTTTTTTTTTTTTTTTTTTTTTTTTTTTTTTGGTGCCGTGTTTATCACTGAACAGTGCCCTCTGCTTTGAATTGATTAACGATTCTACGAATTGTTATCTTCTTTGGAGTTTCCCTTGGGTGAAAGCCTTCAGACGTGCAGAAACATCTTTGTGTTTGCTTGACGGACTGCGTTAACCTATACAAATTACACATTTTTACTTTTTGCTGTGTTGTGTACATCTTGAGCGATACACACAAACCAGACCAAGATAGAACAAAACTTCATAAAATTTTCTACTAGCACGTGAAATTTCACGCGGAAATATGCAATCCTCTTCTCAAGAGAGATCAACTAAATAGGTCACATGGCTATGAATCACCCTGTATTTTACCCGCAATAATGACATAATTTGAAGAGAAATGTGTATACGATGTGTTGTTCAAGTGCGTTATTTCTATGTCTGTGCGTGGAAGGTACAATGACGTCTCGTCTTTTCTCCTCAACCCGACAGAGTCGTACCCATGAGTTGGTGACGACAATCACCAATGTCACCAGGAACATTGAGCTGGCTCAGTGCAGTCTCCAGGTGGAGCAGAGCCACCTGTTCTCATCGCGCCACATCCTGAAACGACGTCAGTTGGGCGGTGACGTCACAGCGCGTGACTCAGGTGTCAGGCATTGACACCATACCGCAATACGGCAGGGATTTAGGCGTGAAATGGACAAATATAATGTGGCATATAATAAAAATATAGTTTAAAAAAAATATTTCGTACGCAGACAAGTTAACGCTCTCATAAGATTTATATCAGATTGAGTCAATGAGTCAATAGCTGATTGAGTCGATGCACATGGCATATCGCTCTCGATTCATTATATTGTATCGCAAATCACCGTACTTGGCTTATTCGGCTGACACTAGCTCCAATTCTTTGAAATACCTACCTGAACTGACTCACAACTGTCCCCTGTTATACCAGATGCTCCCCGGGTCTGGCTCTGGGCCTGGGAAGGCGGCGAGGAGGAATCAATGCCGGGCAGAAATGTGACATTGTCCTGTGACGTTGACGCCCACCCGAAACCCAACATGACCTGGCGAGGAGACCACTCGGAGATACTCCGTGCAGGAGGCAACCTGAACTTCACCTCGATAAAACAACGGGTAAGGAGAGGCGGGTCATTTGGAGTAGATCTGTTTTTAATGGGGGCAAATACACCGCTGTCCTTTAAAAAATAAGGTTTGAAAAACAAAAGAACTATGAAACGGCATTTTGGTTCAAACCTTTGGAGAAACCGAGAAACCGAAAAACCTTTGGAAGCCTCTGAAATCTAACAACACCATAATTTTCCAACATGATTTAAATAGCGTTTCGCTGATGCCTCTTTCATTCAATGACAGCTTGTCGATCATTCTGACCTCGCCCCCCCCCCTCTCTTCGTCACCCCTCCCCAGCCGGGGTACTACCGGATGGAGATGACGATCACAAATGTGACCGAGGAGCAGTTCATGACGTACACCTGCCACGCTGAGAACGAGCTCGGAGCCGATTCCAAGCAGATCGTGCTGAAAAAAACGGCCGGTGAGAACAGCGAGGGATGTCACCACTCGCCAACTCTTTTCTGCACTCAATGTGCATGTATGTCGAGTTTATTGTTCAAACATCAGTTTGAAACAGACGTCGAAAACATTTAAAACAACAGGCGAAAAACATGGGCAGACACATCACTGACATAGGTACATTTTCCTTTTCTCAGAATATGTGGCAATTCTACAAGCTCGGAGTTTCCCAGTGCTGCCGCAGTATGAACATCAGCGAGCCCTGCCAAGTCGCGTGCGCCGAACAAGAGGTGGACCTGGAGCCGGTCAGCTCTAATCCAGCGTGTTTGAAAGAGTTCAGCAAACTGATGGTCTGCGCCGCGGGTAATATGACATCCCGCAGCTCACCAGCAGTTTGAATGCCATTGTACTCGGTCGTTCAATAAGTAAGGTAAAATCATATTTATTTCAGCCCGTCTTATATGTAATTAATGACTAGAAACTTACAACATATGTTTACTGAAATTTATTCTACAAAATGGCTATGAGCATTTGCTATCAGGTCTCACCAGCCAACCACCCCAGCCTTGGCGGAACTCACACCTACTTCCAATGACCTTTCAGGCGCACGTGCTTATCTCTACCAAGCATTGAAAACGCGCTCGGAAAAAAAACTCCTTTTTGATGTTTTTTGCCATGTCCTTTTACTTATTTTTTAATTGCTTCATCCGTAAAAGTTATTCCCAGAAACAGAATGTCTTCCAGCGATCCGAACAGATTGAAAAGGGACGGAGCCAATGAGATCAGGGCTGTACTCAAGCATTCCTGAACTGACAGAGCAAAGCCGCTCCCACACTGATGGCTAGTCGGGTGTCCTTCTGTTGTTGAGTAAGCTCTTTCGGCATCCATCTCAAGCGGACCTTGTAAATTTCCAACGTAGATATCTTATTATGTCTGGGGCATTCCACGATAGATCGACCAAAGCCGTACACCCTCATATTTTATTTCTTGCTATTGTTATTTATTTATTGTTATTATATTATGCTATGCTATTGTTTATTATATTATATTTCTTGCTAATTGGTCTAATGGGTTGTTATGGGCGGGGAAGCCAGCTGTGCCAAGGATTTTTTTTCTTCGAACACCGGTTTCTGAGATATAGCCTCAGGCAATTCCTGGAGGTCACGCTGCAACCCTATGTTTGGCGGCTTGTAACTTAGAAACTATTGGTTTTCAATGGTAAAAACTTTATACGGTTCAACTTGCAATCAACCAGCGAACGTTTTGGCTAACTCGGATTTTCGATTTTTGAAAATTTTGATCACGTGACATCTTGATCTTTTTTTTCGAAGAGTGACCTTGATATTTTCCCAACTGAAAGTCGCAATTTTGTCTGATGACGATTAAAACCTTATCAATTGTCATTCATATGCGACAATAAAAAAAGTGGCTTTCGGCCTGCATTGACCTGAGATCAGGTCATTTTTATGACTTGTCCATTATTACGAGCGGGAGCGACAGCGAGATCTCGAGACTAAAGCAGGATAGCGACAAGTGGTAAACGATACAGGATTCACACGGATAAGGTCTACAATTTTTACTGAGGTCATTTTCAGGTCAGGTCAAAGATGACGTCACAGGGGTAAAAAGGAAGTCAAAATAGTTTTGGCTGTACCTTTTGATCTAATAAAGAAAGAGACGTAGAATAGGCACCAATTCGTTTGCTTTCGCCTAGCGCCAGTTTGTTTTGAATTTCGATACCGATGACCTGAGGTCAGGTCAATTTCTTGACCACCCCATTATAAGTCAATTGGGGAAAAATCAGCTCCCTTATTTTTACACTAAAACGCGTCGGAATTGCCTAATATACCATGAGTGACTCCATATGCGACTAACTTTGACTACCTTGAGACCTTTTTTGCTCTTGGTCAACTGTGACGTTGCTCTTGGGTCATGTGACGTCATTAACCCTATTAGTGGCAGGCTCCTGGCTACCCCATATTAGTGGCAGGGGGGGGCTGTTTACGACCCCCCTTGATATCTCGAGATCTAACGGGCTGATTTTCAAAATTCAAACGGCATTCGATTTGGCTCAACGAGATCTACATTTCTAAAAAAAAATGTCAATAGGGGGGTAGAGGGGGGTAAAAAAGGGCAAATTGCAGATACATTTTAGACTGTTTATCACGGCCAGGTTTCTGAACCAATCTTAACCCTATTCCTGGCGGGGGGGGCCTCAGGAGCCCCCCCTGAGGTTTTTTGGTTATATCTCCCAAACGCGTTGAGCTAGGAAGCTCAAATTTTCTGACTTTTCCTAAAAGGCTTCTACGCAACATGTCTGAAAATTTTGAGTTGATCTGACCTCAGGTCAGGTCACCAGAGGCGGTTTGGTGACGCTACCTCAGAAAAGTTTGCAATCACGCCAGAGCTAGAGTTTTTGACCGATCAATTTCTTCTCTTCAGGGTTTAGTTAGGGTACCAGTATGTGCAATTTGTATATCTCGGAATTTTGATATCGGTGACCTAAGGTCAGGTCAATTTCGCGACCTCCCCATTATAAGTCAATGGGGGAAAAATCAACTCCCTGTTTTTACCACTAAAACGGGTCGGAATGGCCCCATATACCATACATGACTTCATATACGATCAACCTTCACTACCTTGAGGTCTGTTTTGCTGTTGGGCAGCTGTGAGGTCATGTGACGTCATCAAAGGTCACCAAAGGTTTTTGGCCAATAACTCCGTACAGGAACAAGATACAGACGCGTGGATGGTCTCATTGTGTTCAGCTCGTCAAGACGCATCGAATGATATACATGATGACCTCGAGGTCACGTGACCTGAGGTCAACCTTTGACCTTGACCTTTCGAGGTCAACATATATATCATTCGATGCGGATTGACGAGAGGATCACGATGATGCCCTTAGTTTGTTCCTATCTTGACTAATTCGAAAGTTATTCGAGAAAAACTCTCTCCATATCTAGTGCCGCCATTTTGACTTTTTCGACCCCTGTGACGTCATCTTTGACCTGACCTGAAAATGACCTTAGTAAAAATTGTAGATCTTGGCCGTGCGTATCCGATGCCGTTTACCGCTTGTCGCTATCTTGCTTCGTTCTCGAGATCTCAGGGGGGGGCCGAATCGGCCCCCCCCCCGCCAGTTTCTTGTCCCGGCGGAGCCCGCCAGGAATAGGGTTAACGCAACTTTTGCCGATCGATAGAGAATGAACCAGGAATTCACATGGTTCCTAAAAATATGCATTTTCAAAAATCATAGGCGGATACAGATCATTGAGATTGGGGGTACACAAAAAGTATAGTAAATAACCCAGCCAGCCTTCCCAAATGGGGCCCATATGGGCTGAAATTGGGGCATCTGGGCTTAAGTGGGCATGGGCTACATGTGGGCTATTATCTGGGCTAAATCTGGGTCCCATATGGGCTGAGCCCCAGCAAACATGCCCACATGGGTCCCATATGGGGTGAACATGGGCCAGATGGGCCCACGTGGGACATGGGCTACAGATGGGCTACCCACATGGGCCCCATATGGGATAAAAATGGGCCAGGTGGGCCAAACGCATGTGGGCTGGAGATGGGCATCCCATGTGGGTCCCATATGGATCACCCATGTAGGCCCCATTTAAGTTACTCCAAGAGCATAAAAGCAAAAAAGGTGACTGTTGTTCATGTGAATTTTGGACTCCAAGTACATCAAGTTCATACATGATGCCATATGGGGTCAATGTAGGCTGGCCCATATGGGTCCCATGTGGGGGCCGCGTGGGTCTCATATGGGGCCTACGTGGGCTTGCCCATATGGGTCCCATGTGTCACCCACTGCCATTCCCATGTGGGGCCCATATGGAAGAGGTGGGGGGCCATGTGGGCCCCATATGGGAACCATGTGGGCATGTTTGCTGGGATATGAACATTTCCTTTACTAAAAAATTTTGGTATCTGACCCGACACCTATCTGGGCTGGATGCGGGCAGCATGTGGGCAAACTGGACATCAACAAGCTGGGCACACCCAGCCGGGGCCCACATGGGGCCCGGCCGCCCACATGGACAAAATTTACTACAAAACTTTGTTAACTGACCCGACACCTAGGTATCTGGGCTGGATGCGGGCAGCATGTGGGCAAACTGGACACCAACACGCTGGGCACACCCAGCCGGGGCCCACATGCGGCCCAGCCGCCCACATGGGCAAAATTTACTACAAAACTTTGTTAACTGACCCGACACCTATCTGGGCTGGATGCGGGCAGCATGTGGGCAGACTGGGCACCAACAAGCTGGGCACACCCATCCGGGGCCCACATGGGCAAAAGTTACTACAAAACTAATTGTTAACTGACCCGACACCTACACCTATCTGCCCAGCAAACATGCCCACATGGGTCCCATATGGGGTGAACATGGGCCAGATGGGCCCACGTGGGACATGGGCTACAGATGGGCTACCCATATGGGCCCCATATGGGAAAAAAATGGGCCAGGTGGGCCAAAAGCATGTGGGCTGGAGATGGGCATCCCATGTGGGTCCCATATGGATCACCCATGTGGGCCCCATTTAAGTTACTCCAAGTGCATAATAGCAAAAAAGGTGGCTGTTGTTCATGTGTATTTTGGACTCCAAGTATATCAAATTCATGCATGATGCCATATGGGGTCAATTTAGGCTGGCCCATATGGGTCCCATGTGGGCGCCGCGTGGGTCCCATATGGGCCTACGTGGGCTGGCCCATATGGGTCCCACGTGGCACCCACTGCCATTCCCATGTGGGGCCCATATGGAAGAGGTGGGGGGGGGGGCATGTGGGCCCCATATGGGAACCATGTGGGCATGCTTGCTGGGATATAAACATTTCCTTTATTACAAAATTTTGTTAACTGACCCGGCACCTATCTGGGCTGGATGCGGGCAGCATGTGGGCAAACTGGGCACCAACAAGCTGGGCACACCCATCCGGGGCCCACATGGGGCCCAAATGGGCAAACTTTACTACACTTTGTTAACTGACCCGACACCTAGGTATCTGGGCTGGATGCGGGCAGCATGTGGGCAGACTGGGCACCAACAAGCTGGGCACACCCATCCGGGGCCCACATGGGGCCCAAATGGGCAAACCTTACTACAAAACTTTGTTAACTGACCCGACACCTATCTGGGCTGGATGCGGGCAGCATGTGGGCAGACTGGGCACCAACAAACTGGGCACACCCATCCGGGGCCCACGTGGGGCCCAAATGGGCAAACCCCAGCCAGCATGCCCATGTGGGCCCCACATGGGCAGTTGATGGACATGGTGGGCTAGGTGGGCCATGGGCTAGAGATGGGCAAATATGTGGGCTGCATGTGGGCCCCACATGGGCTGCCCACATATTTTTTGGCAGGCATAATGCTTGATGATGAGATTGCTTGCACATGTGCGAGGGCATATCCAGGAATTTTGGTGAACACAGGCATTCACGCGGTGTTCCTGTATGGTGGGCTTAACATGGGCACTGCGTGGGCAGCCCATGTAGTGGGATGTAGGTGGGCTGGATGTGGGCAGCCCATTATTTATTTTTTCACTGTCCAATGTGTATGATATTACAAGAAAAAAGAACTCGCTGTTTAGTCTCATGCCTCCAAAATACACTTCGACGTCGTGAGGAAGTCGCATAGTTGATGTTTGTGAGACCAGCTACGGCTGATATTGGACAGTCAATGTTGTGATTGTGTCGTATGATTGTGTCGCCTGAGCCCGCCCCTGCGCGGGCGACCCGCCGGCGGAGCTCGGCCCACCGGACGGGGCCTGGGGCCGCCTCTGCACCGCCCGGGGCGGTGACCGGCCGACCGGCTGGCGGGGCTGCGGCGTCTGGGCGGGCCAGTTGGCGTTGAGACTCTGAGTGGTGTGCGTGTCCAATAAAGCCTTAATTCGGGCGGAACCGACACATGGCGCGGTCGGTATTAGCTCCAACCCGCCCATAGTGAGTACAAAGTGCGATGAACGAAAGTGAAAGGAAGCAGGAATGCGTAGCCGTGGCGGCCGCGCCGCAACCACGACCGCGTTCGAGTCTCTTCGGAGAGGCGCGCCCGCAGCGACGCCAGCTGTATCGCTAGTTGGTCGAGTCGCAGCTGTGACATCAGGACGTAGTCGTCCCATCTCTCCTTCCAGAGGTATAGAAGGCGTCACTGCGGTCGGTGGAGATGTCCAGTCGGTCAGGCCGAATCGGCTGCAGGCTCGTCATACCACAGCGATTACGAAGGACTGTTCTAGAAGCCCTCCACGCCAGCCACCTGGGGAAGGAGAAGACGAAGGCCCGCGCAAGACAGATCGTCTACTGGCCCGGGATCTACCGGGATGTGGAAAATGTCACCCGCTGCTGTACCAGCTGCCAGAGAGATCTTGATCTACCCGCTCAGCAGCAAGTGGACAGATATTCCGGGTGGCTGTTTGTCGCCGACCTCGGTGTAAGCGCCCCCGCTTACACCGGTCCGAAGGACGATAGCAGGCGTCATGACGAGCGCACTCGCTACGCGACTAAGCGTAAATGGACGGCACGGGAAAAGGGCTTTCGGCGGTACCCGGCTTTTTGATGTCGTGTTCAGTAAGTAATGGTTTTATCTCTTTATTTAATTGCCCAACTCCCTTGGACACCTGATAGCGGATGTCAGAATAACAGCAGCACTCCCATTCATATGTTATTTCAGGTGTCGTCAATTACTGTCCGATTAGCGAATTCCAAGCAGCCGACTTATAAAGCACTAATGTCCTTTGTGTCCATCATAATCGGACCTTGTATGTTTATTCTGCATCAGATTATTTCCTGCAAAAAAAAAAATAATATTTAAAGTTCATTTCTCAACTATTCAAGTCAAATCAGATGATGTTACTTTTAATGCAGGTAATACAGAATCATGGTAGAACACAGCACGGGCAATACACAATTCGCTTATGTGACTGCACCTTTTACATTGCTGGTGCCTATTTTACAGGAGCCGTGCGGCGGAACGGGCTTACCCAGGACACCAACAACGGCCAGCTCAAGCTGGAGGTGGCGCCACGAAAGTGGTTTACGGGTGCCAGGAACCGCGACGGAGGCCGCCAGGAGAGGAGACCAGCTGGAGTTTAAGCGGAGGAGCAGATGAGAGAAGAAGTCTAGAGATGAACAGAAGAGAGGAGAGAGTTTAAACAGCATTTTTGTGTTTATCGATAATATAAATATTGATCACTGACAGTTTGTTTTGTTGCGGTGGCGAACGTTCAGCAATGATCAGGGGGGAGTGATTGAAATAGCAGACATCGATTATATTATAATCATATTGAAATTAATTGTAGGTTCTGGTGGGAACTAAGATGGGCTTTGGTGAATATTTATTGATTAATACAAACGATGCTAGGGAGGTGTGAGCCAGCATGGGGCCCACCTAGGGCCCACATCTGCTGGCCCACGTGGACCCCATATGGTACCCACCTTGAGCCCAGGTGGGCCACATATGGTACCCATCTTGAGCCCATGTGGGCCAGCCCAGGTGGGCCCCATATGGTACCCACCTTGAGCCCACGTGGGCCAGCCCAGGTGGGCCCCACCATTTACCCAGGGACAACTTTATGTGGGCCCCACATGGGCTGCCCACATGGGTCCCACTAAGTGGCCCACCTGGGCCCCGTGTGGGGCCAAGGTAATAATGTTGGCTGGGTATGGGTCCCAGCTGGGTCCCATTTCGAACCCACATGGGCTCCAGGTGGGATTTTTCGCTTATACCCATTTGGGTCCCGGCTGGGAAAGCCCATATGGGACCCGGCTGGGCCCCATATGGGTCCCATGTCGAACCCACATGGCCCCATGTGGGATTTTTCGCTTATACCCATGTGGGTCCCGGCTGGGAAAGCCCATGTGGGACTCATATGTGCCCCGGCTGGGCCCCATTTGGGTCCCATTTCGAACCCACATGGGCCCCATGTGGGATTTTTCGCTTATATCCATGTGGGTCCCGGCTGGGAAAGCCCATGTGGGACCCATATGTGCCCCGGCTGGGCCCCATATGGGTCCCATTTCGAACCCACATGAGCCCCATGTGGGATTTTTCGCTTATACCCATGTGGGTCCCGGCTGGGAAAGCCCATGTGGGACCCATATGTGCCCCGGCTGGGCCCCATATGGGTCCCATTTCGAACCCACATGGGCCCCATGTGGGATTTTTCAATTATACCCATGTGGGTCCCGGCTGGGAAGGCCCATGTGGGACCCATATGTGCCCCGGCTGGGCCCCATATGGGTCCCATTTCGAACCCACATGGGCCCCATGTGGGATTCTTCAATTATACCCATGTGGGTCCCGGCTGGGAAAGCCCATGTGGGACCCATATGTGCCCCGGCTGGGCCCCATATGGGGCCATCTGGGCTGCCCATATGGACCCAGTTGGACGCCCATGACAAACACATCTGGGCCCCCATGGGCAGCAATGGGGCCCATCTGGGCTTCCCACTTGGGCCCATGTGTATGCAGCGTCCAACTGGGTCCCTATGGGCAGCCCAGATGGCCCCATAGGGGCCCAGCCGGGGCACATATGGGTCCCACATGGGCTTTCCCAGCCGGGACCCACAGGGTATAATTGAAGAATCCCACATGGGGCCCATGTGGGTTCGAAATGGGACCCATATGGGGCCCAGCCGGGGCACATATGGGTCCCACATGGGCCGTTCCCACCGGGACCCACATGGGTATAATTGAAAAATCCCACATGGGCCCATGTGGGTTCGAAATGGGACCCATATGGGGCCCAGCCGGGGCACATATGGGTCCCACATGGGCTTTCCCAGCCGGACCCACATGGTATAAGCGAAAAATCCCACATGGGCTCATGTGGTTCGAAATGGGACCCATATGGGGCCCAGCCGGGGCACATATGGGCCCACATGGGCTTTCCACCGGGACCCCATGGTATAACGAAAAATCCCACATGGGGCCCATGTGGTTCGAAATGGGACCCAAATGGGGCCCAGCCGGGGCCACATATGATCCCCTGGCTTTCCCAGCCGGACCCACATGGTATAAGCGAAAATCCCACATGGGCCATGTGGGTTTTCGACATGGGACCCATGTGGGCCCAGCCGGGTCCATATGGCTTTCCCAGCCGGGACCCAAATGGGTATAAGCGAAAATCCCACCTGGAGCCCATGTGGGTTTCGAAATGGACCCAGCTGGGACCCATACCCCACCAACTTATTACCTTGGCCCCACACGGGCCCCAGGTGGGCCACTTTAGTGGGACCCATGTGGGCAGCCCATGTGGGCCCACATAAAGTTGTCCCTGGGTAAATGGTGGGGCCCACCTGGGCTGGCCCACGTGGGCTCAAGGTGGTACCATATGGTCCCACCTGGCTGCCCCATGGGCTCAAGATGGGTACCATATGTGGCCCACCTGGGCTCAAGTGGGTACCATATGGGTCCACGTGGGCCAGCAGATGTGGCCCTAGGTGGGCCCCATGCTGGCTCACACCTCCCTAGCATCGTTTGTATTAATCATAAATATTCACCAAAGCCCATCTTAGTTCCCACCAAACCTACAATTAATTTCAATATGATTATAATCAATCGATGTCTGCTATTTCAATCACTCCCCCCTGATCATTGCTGAACGTTCGCCACCGCAACAAAACAACTGTCAGTGATCAATATTTATATTATCGATAAACACAAAAATGCTGTTTAAACTCTCTCCTCTCTTCTGTTCATCTCTAACTTCTTCTCTCATCTGCTCCTCCGCTTAAACTCCAGCTGGTCTCCTCTCCTGGCGGCCTCCGTCGCGGTTCCTGGCACCCAAACCACTTTCGTGCGCCACCTCCAGCTTGAGCTGGCCGTTGTTGGTGTCCTGGTAGCCCGTTCCGCCGCACGGCTCCGTAATAGGCACCAGCAATGTAAAAGGTGCAGTCACATAAGCGAATTGTGTATTGCCCGTGCTGTGTTCTACCATGATTCTGTATTACCTGCATTAAAAGTAACATCATCTGATTTGACTTGAATAGTTGAGAAATGAACTTTAAATATTATTTTTTTTTTTGCAGGAAATAATCTGATGCAGAATAAACATACAAGGTCCGATTATGATGGACACAAAGGACATTAGTGCTTTATAAGTCGGCTGCTTGGAATTCGCTAATCGGACAGTAATTGACGACACCTGAAATAACAATAAATGGGAGTGCTGCTGTTATTCTGACATCCGCTATCAGGTGTCCAAGGGAGTTGGGCATTAAATAAAGAGATAAACCATTACTTACTGAACACGACATCAAAAAGCCGGGTACCGCCGAAAGCCCTTTTCCCGTGCCGTCCATTTACGCTTATCGCGTAGCGAGTGCGCTCGTCATGACGCCTGCTATCGTCCTTCGGACCGGTGTAAGCGGGGGCTTACACCGAGGTCGGCGACAAACAGCCACCCGGAATATCTGTCCACTTGCTGCTGAGCGGGTAGATCAAGATCTCTCTGGCAGCTGGTACAGCAGCGGGTGACATTTTCCACATCCCGGTAGATCCCGGGCCAGTAGACGATCTGTCTTGCGCGGCCTTCGTCTTCTCCTTCCCCAGGTGGCTGGCGTGGAGGCTTCTAGAACAGTCCTTCGTAATCGCTGTGGTATGACGAGCCTGCAGCCGATTCGGCCTGACCGACTGGACATCTCCACCGACCGCAGTGACGCCTTCTATCCTCTGGAAGGAGAGATGGCGACTACGTCCTGATGTCACAGCTGCGACTCGACCAACTAGCGATACAGCTGCGTCGCTGCGGGCGCGCCTCTCCGAATAGACTCGAACGCGGTCGTGGTTGCGGCGCGGCCGCCACGGCTACGCATTCCTTCTTCCTTTCACTTTCGTTCATCGCACTTTGTACTCACTATGGGCGGGTTGGAGCTAATACCGACCGCGCCATGTGTCGGTTCCGCCCGAATTAAGGCTTTATTGGACACGCACACCACTCAGAGTCTCAACGCCAACTGGCCCCGCCCAGACGCCGCAGCCCCGCCAGCCGGTCGGCCGGTCACCGCCCCGGTCGGTGCAGAGGCGGCCCCAGGCCCCGTCCGGTGGGCCGAGCTCCGCCGGCGGGTCGCCCGCGCAGGGGCGGCTCAGGCGACACAATCATACGACACAATCACAACATTGACTGTCCAATATCAGCCGTAGCTGGTCTCACAAACATCAACTATGCGACTTCCTCACGACGTCGAAGTGTATTTTGGAGGCATGAGACTAAACAGCGAGTTCTTTTTTCTTGTAATATCATACACATTGGACAGTGAAAAAAAATAATGGGCTGCCCACATCCAGCCCACCTACATCCCACTACATGGGCTGCCCACGCATGCCCATGTTAAGCCCACCATACAGGAACACCGCGTGAATGCCTGTGTTCACCAAAATTCCTGGATATGCCCTCGCACATGTGCAAGCAATCTCATCATCAAGCATTATGCCTGCCAAAAATGTGTGGGCAGCCCATGTGGGGCCCACATGCAGCCCACATATTTGCCCATCTCTAGCCCATGGCCCACCTAGCCCACCATGTCCATCAACTGCCCATGTGGGGCCCACATGGGCATGCTGGCTGGGGTTTGCCCATTTGGGCCCCACGTGGGCCCCGGATGGGTGTGCCCAGTTTGTTGGTGCCCAGTCTGCCCACATGCTGCCCGCATCCAGCCCAGATAGGTGTCGGGTCAGTTAACAAAGTTTTGTAGTAAGGTTTGCCCATTTGGGCCCCATGTGGGCCCCGGATGGGTGTGCCCAGCTTGTTGGTGCCCAGTCTGCCCACATGCTGCCCGCATCCAGCCAGATACCTAGGTGTCGGGTCAGTTAACAAAGTGTAGTAAAGTTTGCCCATTTGGGCCCCATGTGGGCCCCGGATGGGTGTGCCCAGCTTGTTGGTGCCCAGTTTGCCCACATGCTGCCCGCATCCAGCCCAGATAGGTGCCGGGTCAGTTAACAAAATTTTGTAATAAAGGAAATGTTTATATCCCAGCAAGCATGCCCACATGGTTCCCATATGGGGCCCCACATGCCCCCCCCCCCCCCCACCTCTTCCATATGGGCCCCACATGGGAATGGCAGTGGTGCCACGTGGGACCCATATGGGCCAGCCCACGTAGGCCCATATGGGACCCACGCGGCGCCCACATGGGACCCATATGGGCCAGCCTAAATTGACCCCATATGGCATCATGCATGAATTTGATATACTT